GCTGAGGCTGCTTCTGGATCTCCAGAAAGACGCAGGTGATATCTGGTTTCGTGGTCATTGGGCATATCAATGTAAGCACAGTGCTGGGATCTTGCAATCGGGTTTCTGAAAGGCAGCAGACATCAATGTCTAGAGAATCTAGGGTGCGCGCTAGACCGGCTTGCTGTCCATTCTGCATGAGTGTCCGAACGTTAAAGCACGCCAGACGGAAGGAGGATCGGAGACGAAGGAGAGCCATAGGTTGAACTCTTTGGTCTGCGACCCAACCGGAATTGCAGTCAGATTGTTGAACACATGAATCGGGTGACGGAAAGTGAGGATTGTAAGCAAAAAACAATTGGCGTGTGATGAAGTCGCGTGAATGTGAGAAGCAGAAACGGAAGCTGATGAACACGCTGTAGTACAGTTTGTGGTTTTGTGATAGGGCATGATACTACCCGGTTATCTAAGCCAAAGTAGGGAATTGACTTACGGGACCCCATCCCGAGCGTTTGGCTAAATAACCTACCCGCAAGGCAGCGGGGCGAATTCAGGGAATCTCGCCCATTTTGAGTCGCCGACTGAATATTCTGTCCAGACGTCCTTCGTTTGGTAGATCATCAAATAGGGGCCCAATATTTCCCATGAAATCCGCACAATTGCTAGATTACAATGCGCCACCGAGGTGGAACACCGTTGCCGAACACTTCGCTAGGACGCGGTACACCCGAACCACCCAGCGGGCAGCACGAGAATGTAGTTCGGCAAGCAGCCAGCCTGGTCTATGGATCAGAGACCTGACCAATCCGCTTGACCCTGTTTAACCACTTGTGTTTGCGGATTGTTGCGCCCGTTTTGTGGAAATACCGGGTGAGCAGTGCTGTGGTCCGTCGGTTAGTTTTGGTAAGAAATCCTCTGATACATCACTCAAGTGCTTGTTGAATCTTACGCACTTACGTTGGCTTAGTCATGTCCTCCTTATGACTGTTGACCGATTTCCTGGGTGTGCATCATATGCCGTCTGGTGAACGACTTTTGTGACACCTCACAAACGCGCCAGGCAACACTAGACAGATTAGCATTGGCTGTCAACTGTTACAGGTCTATGCTTTGCACCCTCGAAGTGGAAAGCTTTTCTCCAAGATTGGCAGGGACCACCTCCTGCTCTGACATTTAGTGGGAATAAGCTAGAAGTCGCTCAAAGAAGCAACTACCAGGGCTTTTATTCCATCGCCTGTGGAATGGAAGAGGAGGTCACAAACCGTGTAGCAAAAGCTTGAAACGCTTTTGCTAGCCTTCGCCACCTATGGCGCCGGCGTAACATCTCTCTCTCCCTGAAGAGTGGAGTGTACACTGTAGCCGTACATTCGACTCTACTGTACGATTGTGAAACCTGGCCCATTAGATCGGTAGGTGTAAACTGGCTACTTACGTTAGACCACCGGTGCCTTCGCAGTTTTGATTCATATCTGGTGAGAACACAGGGTGAAGAATGGACGTGTTCGACGCCTTGTTTATGGCTCAGGAAGAGGAAATGAGCAGCTCAGCACTGTCATTCCACCCACCAGGTTCCGATGGCTGGGCCACGTGTTGCGCATGCCAGCCCACCGACTCCCGCTACGTGCGTTGGTTACGAGTCGAAGGTGTGGACGGAAGAAGACATTGCCGAGCTATGACTTGGTCGAGAGGAATGAAGGATCATAGTTGGAAATTCGCCTCGGTTGGAACGTCTCGGCTCCCTGGTTGGGGTCCGAATGACGATGAACACGTTTGGGTGGATACACATGCTGACGTGGTTAGGACCCAACCTCAGCGGCGTTTGTATTGTGGGTTTCTTAGTTTCTCTTCCTCTCGCTTGTCCTTCCTGAAACCACGATCTCATTTTCTTGCGTATTATATATTTTACAAAATGTTTATTTTTTGCGGCACACTACCGGCTAGTATCTTTCCGTATCCACGTCCATTCGTTGCTGGTGCTGAACTAGCGTGCTGCGGTCACAGCTGTTATCTTCTTCCTTTCTTACATTTCGCGGCATTATAGCTTAGGTGTTTTCCACATCTAACTAACGTGCATATTGAAAATGAAAGACCGCTTTTACCAATAGCATTGTCTTTCTCCGTCTCACGGGCCGTTGTCTCTGACAAGCGCTTGCAGTCAATTCGTAGGCCCCTTGTCGGTCGTCGTTTCAGAAGATCACGGTCACACTGTTGCCCAGTTCCCGACGGTATCTGTTTTCGTGCTGATTGATGCCTCAGAGATCCATTAACAGTTTGGACACCCCAATTTGAGTCTACAGCGGGCGTCAAAAGCATTTTCATGGCACACTTGAGACGATTTCCGTCAGCGATCGGCTCACCAACCCCCTTCCTGCATGCAGTTGATGGGCTAGTTTTCGTTATATTGTCGGACGGCGGACTGCAAATTCAAGTTACAGATGAGAAGCTTAGAAACTAGGCACTTCTTTAAGGCGAGAAGAGTGAGCTGTAGGTTTGTGTGCACTATGCATTTTTCAGTCGATTGCATCCCTAGCGCTTTCCAGTTCCTCCTTGAGGAGATCTTTTTCCTCCGTTTAGCTCTGAGAAGTGTCTTCAATGCTATCAAATTGTATCCAATGGGCGCGGACTCCACAAAATAATACGGTTCATTCGATGGCAAATCCAAAAGCGATTAATAACACTTCACTCTGTGCACTCATTTGTTTTACCATTGCCTGATTTGGAATTGATCACCCAACCAATATAGGATGAGAAAAGGTATCAAGGATAGTCGGAATCCTGGTAAGTGATCCAGATTGATGGATATTCTTAGACTAATGGCAATATGGTCAATTTCGATGCAGTTCTTAGGGGAATTTGGTGAACGTCAGATAACACGATGTGAACCTTCGTGCTGCAAAGCGCTGCTCCTATTATAAAGATTTTGCTAAGCGTGAGGATTCCCTTTCGCGGAATAAAGAGCTACCCTCATCCAACGTCCGAACCTGATGTATCTGAAAGCTGAGTTTGTTTGTCCTCCAACCACTGACCAATCTGGTATGAGTGACCATGGACCTACAGGAAGCATCACCCAGCACCGCTCAGTGGATCACTTAGGTGCGCAAGCCGTTACACCACACTGAGCCCCAGTCTTTTTACAATGGATCAAAATAGTCGATGGCTATATGTCCAATAACTGTTTTTCATTTTAGGACTAGAACTGCGGTGGTGTCCAATGGTGCAAAAGTGCATCAACTTGTAAACTAATGCTGTGCGTTTGCTGCTCCGCTTTTGACCTAACGCGCTACCCAATGGCCCTAATAGCCATCCTATCCACGTTTGGGCCCCCTTAGTATTCCCGCAGACATTTTCTTTCACGAAGTTTCAGCTCACGTTATCGTCATTGCCAATGTCTACTACTTTTGTCGGCCGGTGGCCAGAGGCTTGGGATGTCTGCACTGTTTTGACCCAAATGTCTCCGGTTCGAATCTGCCTGGAGGCGAGTGAGATCACAGTATCTCCAGCGCGCGCGATTAATGGTGGTCGGGTAGCAGTGAAACGTCGGTGCGGGACATTGGTGTACTCTTGACGCCTCCTCCTAGCCTAGAGGTAACGAGCTTATACTCTTGCGGCGCAGGTTCGAATCCGCGTAGGGATGCGCGTCCTCGTGGTATACCCAGCCCACATGCGACTGGTGGTGGTCGCACGGCAGCGAAGCGCCGTTACGGCGTACAGCTGACACATTATTTCTTGTGGGCATTTGTACGGGGTCGAATTTTCATTCTGAGACTCATGCTGCAGCAGCTTAATTCGTACAGCAGACCGACCACATTGATGTGTCTCATGTTTGTCGGTCACCTCATTTTGTTCGCTTTACTTAACAGTACAGGCGTTACCCTAAAATAATCGAGCCTTCTACGTGTTCTGTATTCGAACAGCTCTACGCCGATTTATTTTGTACCATCCTGGAAACAAACTGCGTCCTCAAGTTTCATCCCACATCGTAGTTTCTCTTCATTGTTATCTTGGAGTGTCTATTTGCAGTCTCGAAGTACAGGTACTGAGATGCTATTCAGGAATCAGCTCGTTTATTTGGATCATGCAGAATACAACTCGATTTTCCCTGGTTGTTTCAGCTTTCAATAGAATCCAATATCGCACTATCTATTGATGTGTGCTTTGCCCTCAAGACACGGTCTTCTTGTTAAGCCACCTCTGATAGCCGGCCTTATTCTTGGCAATGAAGTACTGGCGACGTTTGCCCACCAGTCTACTCGCCTTGGTTGGTTTTTTTTCGGACTGTAGGGTGTGTGACCATCGAAATTATTCTGGGGATTTTAAATATCCGAGTAGATTTGGTGATTCTGTGGCATTTGTCGCCAGAAGTGGATTTGTGTTGAACTTAAAGACCATGTATTCAGAAGCACACCGAGCGCCTTGTCTGTAACGATGACACTTGGTCTCTTTGATCAAATGTTCTCACGAGTCCCCTGTCGTTCAGTGCATTGCTAGTAGTGGGCTACGTTAGTTTGTCCTCACCGACGAAGTTCGCAAGCTAATAGTATTCAGTGATGCCCAGCTCAGGTCCTTCAGTTAAAAAGAGAACTAGCTGCTTTGTTTATGACACAAATTAAGAGGCGCTATGTTTTGTTAAATGGATGTTAGAGTACGAACGGTTAACTAAGGCGTTCAACTTGGTAAAGCAAAATAAGCTAATAGAAATTGCTATATCATCGGATACTGTCAGTCCATCCTATAGATTGCGGTTCAAGCGATCCACTCTATGCTTTGCTCCCATGCTAACACAGCTCAACCGGTATCAATTGTCTTTGTGATCGTCTAGTCGGGCCCCCAACCTAAAGTGCCATGGCGCTGAGTTTTTTTATTGTGCAGTGTTACATAGAAAACCGAATAGAAGCAGTTTCGTCAAGGCTACCTTGTCTACACACGCTAGCTGGCTGTTTGTGACCGTAAGCTTTTGCATGACATGATCTCTTCCTGAAAATTAGCCTGGTATATGGCGTCCACTCTTCCAGCAGTTTACCATGCTGCTTGTTTCCACTAATTGCTTGGTATTTTTGTAAGGTTGATATCGTTTGCCATTTGCTCCGGAACTTTTTGATCTTCGCATTTATTGGATTTCTTCCGATATGTCGGTGGGACTGTTGCATTCACCCCTTTGTTCTGCCATCCGATAACTATCGAAATTTTAGACTATATTTCTGCTTTTTCGTGTTTTCATCTTGTTTTCTTCGCTTCTAATTTCTAATATCGCATATCGATACGATTGATTCCTATACATTTTCGTGTTCGGTCATCTGTTCCGCTATCATCCATTTTCAGACAATCCTGTCCCCGCCGGAAATTGACCCATATTTCCCAACTCTGGATGACACTCCGGAAATCTCTGATCCGGAGACAGCCGAGGCTCTAGCGGAGTTCGAATTGTTTGTGTCACAGCAAAAGGTTAACGGTCGGATTTCCTCTAGTAAGTGTTTGTTTTTCTTCTTCTTTCTACTTTCTTTCTACTTTCTGATTCCGTTCCCTCATTTTCGCCCCGTATCACACGTTTCTAGTTTTATCGCACAAGGCGAGTGGTATCTCTTGTGCTGACCCGTTTTCTTTTCTACTGCAGCTATAGTTCCCACTCAACAGGTTCTGCAAGTCTACCGCACATTTTGGAGTCTTCTTGACGTATCGTTAGCACATCAACTACGCTTATGTTCACGTTTCCGTGCTCATCTTACAACTTCTCTATCATTATGCTATTTTATAATTTTTCTGCGCGAGATCTACTCCGCGATCTCCTGTGGCTTTTTGTGAGCTTGCAACGAAGAGATAAGTTCCATTGTTTTAGGATCGCCTTTTGCTATATTGTTGAAGAACACGCAGGTATTTTCAGATAGTGCCACTGTGAGCTTATTTCGATCTCTGACAAGTCACCAATAGTATCACCCTCAATGCGGACTACCTAATCGTGTTGTTGGCACTCCAGTAAGCACCACTAATTTGTGTACTTGGAAGAAGGGTCAGTTTCACAGAAATTGAAGCAAAACACTGAGCAGGGAAGTTGCATCTAAATCTGAAGACATCATATGTGGGTGTTGTTATCGGCATTAGTCAATTTCAAACCACAGCTTTAATCAACCTGAGCAACTATTTAATTTTAACAGTGTTTAATCTAGGAGTTCCCTATCGAATAGTGCTCATTTTCATCGATTTCATCATCAGTTACTTTCCTACTATACGTGCTGCCCAAGATGTCGTTGCCAGTTCTCACACTGGCCTTGTTTACCATGCATCGGACGCACTGTTGACGTTTCTTCACGTTGGTTTATTTGTAAATTTATTAATCTTTTATTATCAAGAGGCCTCACGAGCCTCTGGCCATTTAGCCCAATCCGATCTGTTCTCTTCAGCTACATATCACTTTGTCAGATGGCACGTCTACGTTCCAAAGCTAATACATTCACATCTTCTATATGCTCAAAATGTAAGAGCGACCATTGGATCCAACTTGGCGTAAATATGCACTGTTTTGTTTGAAATCCGCTTAATGAATACTGAATACTGCAAGTATCGGGCCATAAGATATATGTGTGTGTTGCTCCATCGTAGCTAGCTCGGGCAAGTGCGCGGAATCACCTCACTGATTCCTGTGTGTTTGCAGCATATTTTAGCTGCACTGTATGCTATTTTGGTGCGATGTGCCCCTAAATGTGAACTACGCAAAGTGAGTGTCTAGGGATTGCTCGGATTTCGACACCAATTTCACCTCGACTATCTTCTCTGGCAAACTATTCCACTCTTTCACCACTCGCCGTTCAAAACATGGAGGGCTAGTAACAGGTTTCATATCCAGCACTACGAGCATGTACCTATGGTCGCGAATGCTCCTTGCTGTGCGCACGTGCAACAATTTCCTTATCATGTGGATTCAATATCCGATCCACTCGAAACCGACGACACGACAGCGTGTACAGCCACAGTCGTCTGCATCGGTCCTCAAACGACATATCACGTAAATTAGGGATGAGCCTGATACCCACATGCTGATCACCTTCCAGTTCCTGTACCTCGCCACGGGTGATCGGATAATGGGCGAGTTATCCGTACTCCAGCATCGGTCTCACAATGAGAGAGGAGAGTGGTAATCTCCTCAGACCAAATGCAGTAGTGGCGTTTAAGCGCCCAGTGCACGCACAATCTGTTTCTATATAGCTTGTTCGTGTTATCTACGGACTTCAAATAACAGTGTGAGAGCACGCCGAGATCCTTCGCGGAAGGTGAGATGTGACGGTTGGCCGGCCAGTGTATGTATGCTCATCACTACCCTTCCTCAGGCTCATATTTAACGATTTGACTGAGTTGGCTGGCGGATCGACCTCTGATGACCACATGAACAGGCAGTGGAGGTCATGTTGGAGTAATTCGCACCCGTCGGGAGCATCAACTACTTTTTACATCTTCAACTCGTCTGCAAACAAGGCGCAAGACGACTGAAGAAGCTGAGCTACTTCATTCATGTGGATCAAGAACAAAATGCGTCCCATTACTGTGCTTTGGGGTATCCAACTGATGCAGGAATACCAGTCCTTTAGATGGCCATCCTGCTGTATCCTCCATTTTCGCCCGATGAGGAAGTCACTGATGCAGTGACGTAGTGAACCAACAACACTGCACATCCTTAGTTTGTTAAGCAGACCCTCATTCTTTACCTTGTCGAATGCTTTAATGATGTCGATGTAGATCACATGCACCGACTTCCTCTGGTTCAACGCTTGAAACCATGCATGCCGCATCATAGCAGGTAGGTGATACAGGAGCGACCATTCACGCAACCGTGCGGGCATCAAGAGCTTTTTCGCCTCCAGCAGATACAGTAGACTCTTTTCCACGATGTTCTCGACTACTTTGGCCAAAACAGAAGCTAAACAAATCGACTGTAATTTTCCACCTTGCTTGGGGCGCCGCTTTTCGAAATCGGCTTCACTACCGAGCATTTCCAGTCGCTCAGAAATGCGTCTTCCGACAGCGATCTGTTGAGCAGATCAGTCATGCCGGGCGACTTGGGAATCAATGATTGGAGCCCACCAGGACCGACAGGCTTCGTGCCGTTAAGACTGACATGTAGAATGCGGACATCTTCCACTTCGCAATCTAGTTTCACAATTTCTGCCGGGGCTGCACACTTCGAGTTTGGCATATACGGATGCCCACTTGCAAATACAGAAGCAAAGTGCGTTGCCAATACGGACACACGTTCAGCGCTGTAAGCCAGAACCATCTAACACTGCTCCGTCGTCGGCAGGTCTCAGACGCCGCTTCACGTAAGCGAAACTTCGCTTGGGAGCCGTCTTCGCTGCGGTTGCAAGCTCCTCCTCGAACTATTGAGGCTCCTGTGCTTACGTGCTGTTGCACAGATTCCGTTACCTTTCGTACACTTCGTAATCATTTCATAGCCAGACTGGAGGAACTTACTCCACCATATGCGTAGCCGTCGAGCTAACTAGCCATTCTCTTTTTCTAACCAACGTGGCCTCACTGGCCCAGTTTTCCTATAATTTGAGGGTGCAAATCGAGCGCACAGCGATTTTACACCCTTTTTTCTCTTAGACTAACAAGCTTCAACAAATGAATCCTGCGGCAGTGATCAGTCCACTTGACTAGCGGCTCGAATGCGACCATCGAACTACTTTTCCGGTGGTTGCAGGATGATTCCAGCGGATGCGAGTATGACGGCGAAAGCACAAGATTGGCTGTGACTGTCGTATGGTCACTCACTGCTGTAGGCTCCAGGATCAGAGCGTCACGTACGTGCTGTACGCAGCTAGCCAAAATCAGGTCTAGGCACGAGGGATTTTCGTTAGGTTTAATGTTGTACTATTCCAGTCTCAAATATCCTCTCAACAACTCTGCCTACGGGGAGAAGTTGAACCGTAAGTCAGTGTATTCGGGGAAGTTAAAACCACACAAGGAGGAAGCGGGGACGATGCATGTGGTTTCGTACGTGCATCAACCAATCCAAACATTGACTTTACTGATTGCGATAGGCTACATCCACGGACATTATGCCACGCCTCAGATGGATCGGGCACCGCAGTTGCTCACACAGGCCATCTTCATTCCAGTAGGTGATTGCCAGCCTCATGCACGACGAGGACCGAATGTATAGCAGCGCACCGAGAAGTTCCCGATCTGGACTTCCTAGGCGTTTACCTCAGAATTCAACCAGATTCCACCCAGTCCTAAAATGTCCGACCGACGAGAGGCAACGAAGTGACACATATCGTCATGTTTGTTCACTAAACTGCAAACATTAGTAAAGTCTACTCGCAATCCACGGTAGGAACTGCTGATCGCGCATGCAGCGTCGTCAACTTGTTGATCCGGGTTCGGCGCATCCGGAGAACTACTCGACAATTTAGAATGTGGCCTTTAGTTTCCCCACTATCAGTATGCCTCTTTAGCTTAATGATAGCAGACTTGAGTTTGTCCCGGTCTCTCTAGGTTTCTCTACTGCTGCTGATTGCACTTTTGTCTGGCACTTCTTACACAATGTTTGGACAAAGCCATGCTGAACTCCACAAGATGTGAACATTCACATGACAAATTACGCATGTGACAGCACTATCCGAAACAATTATTATACAAATGTTCGACAAGCAGTCTGCTTCGTCATTACAAACGGCTTAGCAGATTTCTCGGCAAGTGTGTCAATGGAACGATCAGAACACAGATTACAAATCACCACACACTATGTGGATGAGACATTTATACACCACAAACAAATTCAGAGTCGCAAAAGGAACTGATTTTTTAAAGAATTAACATCGTAAAACTGCAATACATAAGGCAATAAACGGAGAGAACTGGCCTAGCTACATAGCGATTCGACTTGCCAAGTCGACCAACTAATATGTTTTTTAGAAGCCTCTTTTAACACATATCTCCACAGTGAATGAGCCGAGAAGCTGTAGTCGAAATCGGTTTTCACGCTTATTTGTCTGTTCATGAATGTGATGTACACTTTTATTTGCGAATAGGACCCACTGCTTCCGTACTCCTGAAGCATAGGGAATGAGAGCGATTCTCAGACAATAGCTTGTTGTTGTGACTGTATGTTTTGAATTTCAAAGACAGCAATGTCACTCTCTGTCAAGTATGGCTATTTTACCTGATTTGTTTAAGTATCAGCTTTTTGGAGGCTTACCCAGTTTTGCAGGACACCTGGTCATGTATCTTTTCAATCGGTACCCTACAAATATGCACTATGGACCAAGCTTCATTAACTTACTTTTCCGGTGATATATATATATATATATATATATATATATATATATATCTGAAGCAGCCTAAAGAGTAGACACGGCACCGTCGATGTACCATGGAAATTAAAGGAATGTACCGTTTTTGCAAAAGTGGAACAAGCCATTGTACTTTATTCGTACGCACACACATTTTGCGTTTTCACTGTTAGGAGCATAT